TCAACACCCGCTGTCAGCAGCTGTTTGGAGAGACTGTAGAGGAGAATCTCCGGGCCCCCGCTGAGGTGGATTCCCACGAGCTGCTGGGGTTGGAGTCCCTCTTCAGCCAGAGCATGGTGAATCCGAATCTGGCCCCTTTTCACGGGAGGACATCATCCACGATGGCCCCGGTCCAGACCAGGAGGTGGTTCAGCCCGGGCAGCCTACTCCAGATCCCGAGGTACCAGAGCGACGGGGAGTCACATTGTGAGGGAGACCATGTGCTGGATGCCATCCTGCCCCACATCACACTCGTCACAGACTAAACCTCCACTGTCAACCCGCCCGCTTTTGTAAGTGACTTGGTGTCTTCTAGAATGAAATTAAAATGCACTGTATCAGTGGTCAATGTATCCATTTCAACTTCCCACATTTTCCATGTCATTTCTTTAACAGGAGGATGCCTGCAGTCAAAACCCTCTTCCCGGCTTCCAGCAGTTGGAGAGGTTCTGCTCGCTGCTGGTGGAGATGGGTCTCGTAGGTGACAAGCTGTCCCTCGTCACCCAGCAGAGGAACACGATCCTGGCTGCCTGGAATGCAGTGGAGGACCACGACAAACAGCAGCAGAAGTTCAACCAGCTGTACAGAACGCACTGGGGCAACACCCTGTACTGCCGCTCTAAACGGCACAACCTTGTCGATGCTGCTGTGATACAGCGCGTGAAGATGGGCATTCGCTACACACCAGCACAACAGGACATTAGTGCAATGAACAACATGCTTATGTACACGCTGGTGAAACTGCTGTGGTTGAAGTCACCACAGGGTTCTCGCACAAGCCCAGAGAAGACCACTATCTTGAAGGCGTACGAGAGGATCCAGCACCGGGTTTTGGTGGACGATCCCGTCTTGTCTCAAGCAGGCTTTCCGCTGCCAAAGATAAACATTAAGACGGTGCGTGACTTTATCTGCGCTCAAGAATGTCTCCTCAACCTGCGTGTGACCAACCAGCCAGCGATGCTCTCAAAGAGCACTTCCGTTTCCTCTGCCCACTTGCCTCCAGCGCCACACCAGCCAGCAGTCCTCCCTCCACCAGACTACCCACTGATGCAGCACGTGCCGACACCCAGCACGGCAGGGACCAAGTCATTGAAGGGAAGGAGGGACATGATCATACCTCTCTCACACCCTCAGATATCACTGCCAGCTGTGTCATTGCCACCAACCCCAGCCCTTTGCCCTCCCCCTCTCCATCCACAGCAATCCGGCGATTGCTGGCCCCTCCACGAGGCCCATCGTGCCTGCCATTGCTGGACGTCCCATACTGCCTGCCACCAGTACCATCGCCAGACCTGTGCCCTCCCTTTTCCCTGGCCCCATCCTGCCTGCCATTCAGGCAACCCCGCCTGCTGATGTGTCTGTCCCCACTACTCTCGAGTGCATTCCCTCATCCTGGGCAAGGTCCACGCTTGACAAGCGCAAGGGGATGGACGAGCCCTCGGGAGTAGGAGCCAAAGTGTACAGGCGCAAAGTCTTCTGCCCTGTGAAGAGGATGTCTCCATCAAAGTGTCTAGAGAACACAGTTTACAACAGTTACCAACATGTTACAGCTGTTGCTATGTAAATATTGTAAATAGTCATTTCAATATTTTTCAACTTGCTGTGTTATCATTTTTATTTTTCATGTTGAGTTTTATATGTATTATGTATATTGTAAATATATGTACGTCCTTAATGTCCTTAATGTCATTTTGGAGGGATTCCATCCATCCATCCATCTTCTCCCGCTTATCCGTGGTCGGGTCGCGGGGGTAGCAGTTCCAGCAGAGAGCCCCAAACTTTATTTTCCCTGGCGACATCAACCAGCTCTGACTGGGGGATCCCAAGGCGCTCCCAGGCCAGCGAAGAGATATAATCCCTCCACCTGGTCCTAGGTCTACCCCTTGATCTCTTCCCAGCTGGACGTGCCTGGAACACCTCCCTAGGGAGGCGCCCAGGTGGCATCCTAACTAGGTGCCCGAACCACCTCAACTGGCTCCTTTCGACGCGAAGGAGGAGCGGCTCAACTCCGAGTCCCTCCCTGATGACCGAACTTCTCACCTTATCCCTAAGGGAGACACCAGCCACCCTGCGGAGAAAACCCATCTCGGCCGCTTGTATCCGCGATCTCGTTCTTTCGGTCATGACCCATCCTTCATGACCATAGGTGAGGGTAGGAACAAAAATGGCCCGGTAGACAGAGAGCTTTGCCTTCTGGCTCAGCTCCCTTTTCGTCACAACGGTGCGGTAAAGCGACTGCAGTACCGCTCCCCCTGCTCCGATTCTCCGGCCCATCTCACGCTCCATTGTTCCCTCACTCGAGAACAAGACCCCGAGATACTTGAACTCCTTCACTTGGGGTAAGGACTCATTCCCTACTTGGAGTTGACAGTCCATCGGTTTCCTGCTGAGAACCATGGCCTCAGATTTGGAGGTGCTGATCCTCATCCCAGCCGCTTCACACTCGGTTGCGAACCGATCCAGTGAGTGCTGAAGGTCGCAGACCGATGAAACCATTAGAACCACATCATCTGCAAAAAGCAGTGGTGCAATCCTTAGTCCACCGAACTGCAGACCCCCTCCCCCATGACTACGCCTCGAAATCCGATCCATGTATATTACAAACAGGATTGGTGACAAAGCGCAGCCCTGGCGGAGGCCAACCCTCACTGGAAATGGGTCCGACTTACTGCCGAGGACCCGGACACAGCTCTCGCTTTGGGAGTACAGAGATTGGATGGCCCTGAGTAGAGACCCCCTCACCCCATACTCCCGCAGCACCTCCCACAGTAACTCCCTGGGAACTCGGTCATACGCCTTCTCCAAGTCTACAAAACACATGTAGACCGGATAAGCGTACTCCCAGGCCCCTTCCAGGATCCTTGCGAGAATAAAAAGCTGATCCGTCGTTCCACGACCAGGACGGAATCCGCATTGTTCCTCCTCAATCTGAGGTTCGACAATCGGCCTGACCCTCCTTTCGAGAACCTTAGAGTAAACTTTCCCGGGGAGGCTGAGTAGTGTGATGCATCACACTACGTCCTTAATGTAAATAGTTTTATGTACATTACATGTTCGACGCTTTTATCCAAAGCGACTTACATACTCAATACTGTGGGGTGAAGTGTCCCAGGGACACAACGACATGCTGACTGAAGTGGGGTTTGAACCTGTGCTCCCCTGATCCCAAAACCAACGCACTGCGCCACGGCCTCCCTGTACATAATTGTACATCTGATGTGTATCCACTTGAGCTTTTTTACCTGTGTTTATGTTGTTGCTGTTGCCATCCTTTATACTGAGTCAATGAAGGTGAATGGTTGCTCAGGAAAAGTCCTAAAGAATCCAACTGGGTTCAATAGCTGGATCATTCCTGTTCTTCGTCTGCAGTGGAGTGAGATCTCGTTGTTGTCTTGCATAACAACAAATGTTAGTTTACAAGAAGTCCCCTAACATTTGATTCATACCTGCTGATGACAAATAAATCCTGGGATCTACAAAAGTGAATGTGTTTCAAAGCATCTGATTTGTATCCACTTGAGCTTTTGTACCTGTGTTTACTTTAGTTTATGCTGTTGCCATCATTTATACTCAATCAATTAAATATTTTGCCAGAAAGGTCCAACTTTAGGAATACAGAGCAGTTCTTATCATGCCATAACCATAGCCGTGTTCAGATAACGAACAAGTAAATGAAAACAGAATGAGACGGAGAAGTGTGTGCGTGTGTTAGGGGTGTAACGGTTCACAGAAGTCACGGTTCGGTTCTTACCTCGGTTTGGGGGTCACGGTTCGGTACAACAAGAAAAAGCAAAAAAAAGTCCCAAATGCATAATTCCAGGTTTGTTGTTATTTATGTTTGAACAGTAGCAAGTTTCAGTTTAAAAATAAGGAACTCTGACATTTTGAATAATGAACTGTATTAAAAAGTTAAAAACAAACCACAAGCAGTACCACACACTCAGATGGCCATATTATCTATAATGGCTGATGTCAAACAAAAAGGTTTCATCAAGCTATAAAACTAAAAAGAATGTCTTGAAAATATGATATCATAAATAATAAGAAAGTGTTTCCAGAGCACAAAGTCGTTGAAAAACATATGCCAAAAGCTTCCGTTATTTATTTCGGTCTCACGGCTCTCGTGTCTCTTGGCTTCTTAAAAGCAGCGGGGATCAGCTGCTGAACTGCTGTTGTCTTTTGCCGGCTCCAGTGATTGGCAAATCTGGGTGATGCCTTCTGATATGATTTAGCATGTGTTACCATTAGCATACCGCACCGCTATCGAACAACGCCGACACACCGTCCTCGTCCGAACCACCACTTGCACACTTCATCATTATTGTAGTCCACAGGGAACCCGAAATGTTCCCACACAGCTGATTTAAAAGAAGCAGGTGGGTTCTAGCTCCTGTGTGTTATCTGAAATCGCTATACTAACTTTTCTTCTTCTTGGATTTTGTTCGTTTTGTTGTTGTGTTTCTTCTTTACTTGTTTAAGGGCGGCTGGCAAACAGCTTTGAGGCGCAATACCGCCCCCTGGATTATAAATAGTGTAATGGATACTGCCCTGAATGACACTTTTTTCCCCACTCGTAATAAAAAGGCGTATTCGTCGCGTGACTGCATGTGTCGAACCGTGACGAATACGGATACCGTTACACCCCTAGTGAGTCGTGAAATATGAATTATTGAATGGAATAATGGGGATTAATTTGTTTATCTAAATATATGGACAAAGGTAGAGTAACACTATACTTGCACAGTACACAATGTTCAGATGACCTTGCCCAAAAGCAAACATTTAAGTTGCTTTAGTCAGACTCAAAAATATTAAAACACTTTATAAAATCAGACTCGAGAGTCTGATTTTATAAAGATAAAGATATCTCACGGAAGAAAAGACACATTTGAATTAAATAAGCTTTATTTCAATGAGACTCAAATTCAGAAAGACTACAGCTCTCAGGACATCAGGAGGAGGAAACAGCTGGCTTGGCTCTCATAGTTCTTCAAAACAATGCAGTGTGCATTCGCTCATGGACTTTAAAGGTGAATACTTTGAGAAAAAGATTTCCCACACTCTTCACACCACTATGGTTTTTCTCCTGCGTGAATACGTTGATGTATTTTGAGCGCACCTGATGTAGTGAAAGTTGTCCCACACTCTTCACACCAGTACGGTTTTTCTCCTGTATGAATACGGTGATGTATTTTGAGAGCACCTGATTGAGTGAAAGTTGTCCCACACTCTTCACACCAGTACGGTTTTTCTCCTGTATGAATACGGTGATGTATTTTGAGATTACCTAATTGAGCGAAAGTTTTCCCACACTCTTCACAGCTGAACGGTTTTTCTCCTGTATGAATACGTTGATGTCTTTTGAGATGACTTGATTGAGCGAAAGTTGTCCCACACTCTTCACAGCTGAACGGTTTTTCTCCTGTGTGAATAAGCAGGTGGCTCTTTAAATTTCCAGTTGTTGTAAAGGATTTGTCACATTGCTGACAGCTGTGACGTCTCTCTTTTCCTTTCGGTTTCTAGAACAGACGGACAGAGAAAGAGAGAAAGTCAATCTAAAAAGCATAAATACACAAGTTAACACAATAAAAACTCACCTAATATAAACCTTGAGTTAACAAAATACTACTTATCAACCGTTTGTGTTTATTATATTTGATACAGTAATACAGCAATATTCTAACCACAGTATATACCAGAGGTGGGGGACTCGAGTCACATGACTTGACTCGAGTCACATGACTTGAGTCGCATATTTTTTGACTTGAGACTTGCTTGACTAACATTGATAAAAGACTCGACTTGACTTTGACTTGGTATTCATGACTTGAGACAAAGGACTTTACTTTTTAAAATAAAATATTTGCATTTGTATTGTACGAAGCCCCTAGAGGGCAATGAAGAAAAAAAAGAGAAAGTATCTCGTTCGCAGGAGAAAGTAGGAAGTGGAGCGCACAGGAGACAGCCGTTTCATTGCAGACTGTTATGTTTATGTGGGGAAATACATACATTATTTGAGATATATATTTCAAACTCGGACTTCAGTTTAGGGACATTTCGGCCAGGGGTGTAGAGTTATTTGTTCAAGCACCGGATCGGCAAAACAGGAGAGTCTGTGAACCAGTCTGCCTTGACCTATGTATTCATGTCTGTGACTCTCACAGTATTTGCTGCCCACAGCTGCTTTATAGAAGAAAACCTCCTTCACTTCATGAAATCTCTGCGGCACCAGGAGGCAGTAACGTGTGACTCAGCAGAATCTGAGAAGAGCAGCAGCAGCTGCAAAGAGCTGTGCCTTCACTGTGTGTACCTTCATTAGAACAGCTAAAGAGCGACCGCAGGACTTCCGGTGACGTCATGGGAGAAGCAGCAGCTTAGAAGTGGAGCTCCGCCAGACTATACACAAAAATAGAGACAACTAGTAATATAAGACGTTTTAAAAAATAAGAAAGAGCACTCCTGCATGATGAGCTCGTCAACCAGAAACAAAGCCCCCAACAAACAAGATATCTCAAAGGAAAAAAACGATAAACAACGGAGACCGGCCAGCCCAGCTAGCGCTAGCTTGACAACAGATAGCAACATGTGCGAGTCGGACCATGAAGTTACGTTGATGGGTGAGCTGGGGAATCTCCGCAAGGAAAATCAAGAAGGGCATAATCAAACAAAAATGTCTCTAGATCGACTGGAACAGACGGTGCTAGATATAAAAGTTCAAATGGGCGAACATGAAGGGAGGATTGGAAAGTTGGAGGACAGAGTCGGCATGGCCGAGGACGTAGCGGTGCGGCATCAGAGGGCGCTCCGATACCTGATCCACCGTGATATTGCCCTCTCAGCCACCTGCGACGACTTGCAGAATAGACAGAAGAAATAATGTGAGAATCTTTCAGGTACCAGAGGGGAGTGAGGGAGGAAACATGGCAGAATTTATTAAAGAACTGTTACACAAGGTGCTTAAAATACCATCACTAACGGATATTAAGATAGAGAGCACACCGATCCTCTCTTCTGGAGTGAAACTACGTTCCCAGAGATTGACTTCACTGTATCCAAACCTTCTGATCTTAGTTTAAAGCTAACCCTTCTCTGGACTTTGCCCCTCTGGTCACCCATACACGATTTCTGAACTTAAACGGAAAAGGTGTGATAGTTAGATATGACCTGACCTTTGCCCTAGGTAGCTTTTCCATAGGAATACATTCAGCCTTGTCAAATTGAGTGGAATGATTTGATAGGAGTGTGTTTGTGAGTATTAGTAACCGCCACTGTGAGGATCTTCCTCCGAATACCTGCGGGAGATAGGTGTGTGTTTTTGAATGTTAGTACCCGCCATCTGTGTCGGAAAAAAGGTATGGAATTGATTTGGTGAATGAAAAGTTGAATGTGCTTTTTATTATCACCGGTCTTTTTATGAGGAAATACCTCTAAATTCTATCGGGAGATTTTAAAATGTCACAACTGAATTGGGCAGTTGAAGTTAAACATTTTGGTAATAAATGTAAGACTGTGAATTAAAGTTTCATATTTGAACATGATCACAGCATCATTTTTTTTTAGTATGATTATAATGTTGTAAAGAGAGAAGGTAAAAACCCTGTATTAGTTTGGACCTATTTTTCTTCAAATAAACTGATCCCACCAGTTGGATTGGGACAACTTAAAGGACATTTGCGCTCTCCTCTCCTGCTTCAAAGGTAAGATTGCACCCTGCCACACTCATGTTAAGGTAGGACCACACCTCATTTACCGATACCAAAATCCTTCAGGATCCCTTAAACAGATTAATAAAGAGTTGTCTGAATTGAAACAGCAGTTAATTGAACCTGGTTCTTCGGGGAGTTAATAGAGGTGAGATCTTGCTGACCTTGGTGGATCTGAGCCAAGCAGTAAACTTACATAGACGCAATAACTTCGGTCAGGTCAATTAGTAGGTCAGAATAATTTACCGGAATAAATTATCAGGACCTCGCCGACTCTCAACAACGCCAACACAAGAAAACCACACTAACAGTCCATCTTCAAATCTTCAAAGACTATCTCCAGCAGTACAGTAACGCACTCAAAGCAGCCCGGTCTAATTACTACTCACAACTCATTCAGTCTGGCTCCAGCAACCCCAAGCGTCTGTTCTCCACCATCAGCAAACTTCTCAAACCCTGTGACAACGCCACCTCATCCTTCACCACCGAACAGTGCAACTCCTTCCTCTCGTTTTTACAAACCAAAATCAGCTACATTTACAGCAATCTGACACCCTCATCAGCACCCCCCACCTCCCCTCCTGGCTCCCCCCGCTTCACCTCACAGCCCCTGTCCCACTTCTCCCCTGTGACCCCCATGCAACTGTCCGACTTCATGACTGGAATTAACTCCACCTGCAAATGTGTTAAAGAGAGCCTCCCTGCCATCTCCCAACTCATCGCCACCATCATTAACTCCTCCCTCAGATCTGGATCAGTTCCCCCCTCTCTCAAACTGGCTGCTGTCACACCCATTCTCAAATCTCCCCTTTCTGTCAAAAATACTTGAACGTGTCGTTGCCTCACAACTTAAAGCCCACCTCAGCTCCAATGATCTCTTTGAGCCATTTCAATCTGGTTTCCGATCAAAACACAGCTCTTTTCAAAATCACAAACGACCTCCTCCTCTCCTCTGACTCCGGCAACCTTAAGATCCTCATCCTCCTCGACCTCACCGCAGCATTCGACACCATCAATCACGCCATCCTGCTGTCCCTCCTCGAATCATCACTCAACATCACCGACAGTGCACTCTCCTGGCTGAAATCCTACCTCACCGCAGAGTCCTGCACGGGTCTGATTTTCAAGACCCGCTCCCGCACCGCGACGTGCAATACCGAACCCGCCCCGCTACCCGCACATATTGCCAATTAGTTCCGCATCCCGACCCGACCCGTCGGCACAAGATCCGCAACCCGACCCGAACCCGCATAGCCTATGAGCAGTGAAAACGTGCAATTATTAACACACGCAGTTTCATATTTGTCTCAGAAAGCGTGGGATGTTGGTTATTTCCTCCATCTAGGTCTGATGACACCAAAAGCCTCCCAGACGTTGGATTTCGCTCGAGGAAGTGTTATTGAAAATGCTGTATTCTCCGCTAGAGAGCTTCACCTCAGCCATTTCCAATGTGGCGCACAGCAGCAGATGGATGCGCTGCAGAGGTTATGATTATGCGCGGTCCCGCGGGGGAGAGGTCTGAGGATTTTAAACATTAAACTAATTTATTATTATTTTAATATATTTATTATGCAATACCCGCGACCCGACCCGCATCATCTTTGTTTTACCCAGAACCGAACCCGGAAAAAAGCGTTTGAAAAAAATACCACCCGCGAATCACCTTTTTTGCGGGTACCCGACGGGTACCCGACGGGTGACCCGACCCGATGCAGGACTCTGCCTCACCGACAGACATCAGTTTATCAACAACTGCACCTCCTCCACTGCTCCTCTGTCCCAAGGTGTCCCCCAGGGTTCGGTGCTTGGCCCCCTCCTCTTCATCCTCTACATGCTCCCCCATGGCAAAATAATTTGTCGCCACAACCTTCAATTTCACTGCTACGCCGATGACATCCAACTTTATATCTCAACAAAAACCATCCCCCCCAAAACACACTCCACTCTCACCAACTGTCTCTCAGAAATAAAAGCATGGATGCAAACAAACTATCTCCAACTGAACAGTGCCAAATCAGACATCATCATCATCATCATCGGCACCCCATCCCGTACCAAAGACATCCAGAATTTCAACTTCACCATTGACAGCCACACTCTATCTCCCCCCCCCTCACATCCGCAACCTCGGAGTCATCTTCGACAGTCAGCTCAAATTCAACCACCACATAAATCACATCACCAGGACCGCCTTTTTCCACCTCAAAAACATTGCCCGTCTCCGCCCATCACTCTCCTCCTCTGCTGCTGAGACCCTGATTCATGCATTCATCACTTCACGACTCGACTACTGCAATAGCATCCTCTACCGCATACCATCCAACCTAATCAATAAACTCCAACATAGGGTTGTGCAATTAATCGTATTTTAATCGCGATTACGATTATGGCTTGCGACGATTATGAAAACAGCATAATTGACAAAATACGATTATTTTTGCTGGGTGCGCTTTCGCCCCTCCCTAAAAGCCCACTCGGCCACGTGGGAGTGACATGTGTTGTGAGTGTTCAGCGCGAGCGAAGATGTCAGAACAAGAGCAGCAACTAGTTAAAAAGAAGGGTACAACTATTTCCACTATTTGGAAGTACTTTGTCATTACATTCCACATCGCTAAAGATATGTGCCCAGTTAGCACTGTTAGCAACCAGGGCTTTAAGCAACTTGTCAACACGTTGGACAAGCGTTACGCGATGCCATCTCGGTATTATTTCAGCAGGTCTGCGCTGCCTGCGCTATATGACAAATGCCGTGGGGAAGTTGAGAGAGATGTGGCTTCAGCTGACTACTTTGCGACCACAACGGACCTATGGTCTAGCCCAGGGGTGCCCAACCAGTCGATCGCAAGATGTGTCTAAAAATAGAACAACAATATTCTGTTTTATCGTTAATGTCCTGTAACATAATCTTCCTGTGCCAGAATAATGCACTTGAACGCATCAAAGCTTTGTGATTGGCCGGCGTCACCCCATGTGTCGGGGCGTGGCTGAGGGTCTTCAGTACAGGTGGCAATATTGTCACCTGCCTGCGCTCATCTCTGAAACCAGACCATGTCAACAGGCTGGTGTTTCATGAGCAGCCCTACCAGCATTTGCCATGGTGGCATAAACATTTTAATTTGGTCTTAAATTGTAGTTCAACATTTATTTCCTGTTACTTCTGGACCATGACGGTGGGCCAGCCTTCAACGTTTAACTGAGTGGAATAATCAATATGTTTTACCAACATGTTGGCTATATGTTAAGGAGTGTTCAGTAGGTTGTGCAGTGCACTGCATCACATTTGATTTCATTTATTTTGGTCTAATTTATTTTTATTTATCATATTAATAATATATGTTTAGTATGGTTTTGGAAGTGCGCTCCAACATATTTGTTGATCTTGTTTATTGGTAAAATATTATTTGTTTTAAAGTTCAATAAATGGTCAATGAATAATCGTCAAAATAATCATGATATCAATTATTGACCAAATAATCGTGATTATGATTTTTGCCATAATCGCACAGCCCTACTCCAACATATCCAGAACTCTGCTGCCCGCCTCCTCACCCACACCCGAGACCACATCACTCCCGTCCTCCAGAACCTCCACTGGCTCCCCGTCCGTCAAAGAATCGACTTCAAAGTCCTCCTCATTACTCACAAAGCCCTTAACAATCAGGCCCCCCCCCTACCTCACAGACCTGCTGCACC